TAGAAACACCGTACTTGTTAAAAATAGTAAAAGTTAAAAGAGTACCATGTCAAGTTTTAGGCAAAGATACAGAGGATATAGAATTCTCATACAGTAGTGGTAGAAATATAATACAGAACGACTTTGAAAAGTTTAACAATTTCTTAAAATGTTAAATTTTTGTAAACCCAGTCATTCTAATCCTAGTTGTTCAGGGTTTGTTTGTTTGTATGTTTTCTAAACTGTTGATATAATCAACATTTATGAATCTCAGAATAATTATGCTGAGTGAAAGAAGCAAAGTAAAAGGGTACATATTGTGTGTAAAACTCAAGAAAATGCAAATATATTGTAAAGAAAGCAGATCAGCAGTTACTTGAGGATAGAGAATAGAGAAGTGAGAAGAGTTTTCACAAAGGACCATAAGTAAATTTGGATGTGGCAGATATATTCATAATCTTGATTATAGTAGTGATTTCATGGGCATATATATAAGGTGGCTTTCCAAATTGTACACTTTAAATATGTACAATTTTGTACTTCAATTATGCTTCAAAAAACTCTAAAAAATAATAAATTGAGGAATTTTTATTATCATTGAAAGGCAATTAGCCAAAGGACATGTTTATAGACTGAAATGCTTTAGTTTCTTTATGTAGCATTATTTTAATCATACTCTAAAGCAAAAACACAAAGCAGCTTACAATCTTATTTTTCCAAAGAGACTATTTTGATTCCTTAAATAAAACTTACCATAATCATAGAGATAAAGGGCTGGGGTTGTGACTATTTTAGATTTTACCAACATTTACTACTCATTAATAATTCTAAATAATAAAATTAATCACAGTTAAAAATCTTTATTTAAGTACATGGAAAGCACATATTATTTAGTGTTTTCCCCAAATTTATACACTGTGGATAATGTAGCCTCATACATTTAATTTCAAACTTCATTTAAAGATATCTGATTTTAATGTTAACCTATTGAAAAATGACATGTATATTTTCTAAAAATTTATTTCTTACAAAAAAAGAAATTCTTTCTGTAAAAAAGGATATTTTTATATTTTTGTATTTATGTCATTAATATCTGTTTTGGGCATTTATGTGTTTTATTATCTTTAATCCTATTAATATTTCTGAGTGACAGGTATCATTTCCCTTTTGAAAATCAAAGAAACCTTTGTCTAAGAGACTGATTTGCCTAAGTTTCCTCTGCTAGTAAAAGGCAAAGAATCCAACTCACATCTGTTTTCAAAGTTTATGTTCATTCTACATGGAATACAGTGACTCTCTACAATTGTAATTTTTTCCCTTGTATTTCCTACTAAATTGCAAGCTCATTAAATACAAAATAAGTTAGGAAATATAAGTCATAATTTTAAAGTAAGGTTAAATAAATGTAAGCACATCTTTTACTATCACTATTTATAAATATCATATTACTCTTGGTTTAACATGTTAGACACTCAAATAATATTTGTATTGCCATTATTGTTGCTATAGTTATATCAGTACAATAGAATTAAGTAATTTTTAAGACCAATAAAATCTATAAAAGGATCTATCAAAAGTATAAATATAAATTAGGATCCCTAAAATACAATTTAAGAAGGTTGGAAATATGCCTAAAATTAATTTAATGTTGATAGAGTCTAACATAATTCCATGTGATAATAGGTTCAATATATCTATGGTAGTTTTAACAAGTTTGAATTATTAAATTTATGATGTTTTTATTCCAATTCTGTGTACTTTAAAAATCCGAAGGAAACAATTATTTTTTCCTTTTCGGATTTGGATTTTTTTTAGATATACATGACAGTAGAATATATTTTGACATATTGTACAAACATGGGATGTATCTTATTCTAATTAGGATCCTATTCTTATGGTTGTACATGATGTGGTCGTGTATTCATATATGAACATAGGAAAATTATGTCCAGTTGATTCTTCTGTCTTTCCTATTCGCATCGCCCCTTCATTCCCTTTATTCCCCTTAGGCTAATCCAATAAACTTCTATTCTACCCACCCCTACTTTATTGTGTGTTAGTATCCGCATATCAGAGAAAACATTTTGACTTTGGTTTTGGAGAGTTGGCTTTTTTGAATTAGCATAATTGTATCCAGTTTCATCCATTTATTGGCAAATACCATTATTTCATTCTTTATGGCTGAGTAATATTACATTGTGTACATATCCCCCATTTTTTTATCTGTTCATCTGTTGAAGGGCACCTAGGATGATTTCCCTTCCATAGCTTAGATGATGTGAGTTGAGCTGTGTCAAATTAGTATGCTAATTTTAAGTCCCTTGGGTATATACTGAGGAGTGGAGTAATTGGGTCAATTATTGGGTCAAACAGTGGTTTCATTCCAAGTTTTCTGAGGGATTTCCATACTGCTTCCCAGGATGGTTGCACCAATTTACAGTCCCACCAGCAATTATGAGGGTACCTTTTTCCCCACAATCTCATAGACATTTATTGTTACTTGTATTTTTTGTAATTTCCATCCTGACTAGAATAAGATTGAATCTCAGTGTGGTTTTAATTTGCATTTCTCTAATTGCTACACATGGTGAGCATTTTTTCATATATTTTTTGACTCTATTTCTTCTTCTGTGAAATAGAGTCTATTCAATTCCAAAGGAAACAAAATTAAAATGGAAAGCCTTAAGTCCACTTAACTATTATAAATGAAACTTGTGCCATGTAGTATTAAAAATTATCTCTTCCTGTTTGCCATCTGGCTTGAAAGACAACATTAACATGAATATGTCTGAAAGTAAAACTTTTGTACATCCTATTTCAGCCTAGCCCTAAGGAAGTAACCATGAAAATTCATACTTTTACCCCAACTATAATGTAATACTAGAGTACAGCAAAACTCCTTCCTAGAGCCATAGTGTACTTGGCCTTTATATAGTAACTGCTTCTCTTTAATAGAGAAAAATACAATCCCAAAACTCAATATATTTTTAATTTACTTTTATAGCTGCCTTGTAAATAATGTTGTACCATCCATTTCTAACAGAAGCGCTTCTTCCTTCTTCATGTATTCTCAGCAAAATCAGTAGCATGTCAGCAGTCTTTCCTTTCTCTAAACTGGCTTTTACCATTAATGTTCCCTGAAGAATATTGACAGTAATTTCAGGAAAATCTGACAATGTAAAAGGAAACTTTCTCATCATGTCCCTAACAGAATTGTATAAAATTCCAGATGTATATTAGCATAATTATTTTCCTGTATTTGTTCAAGAAAAAGGAAACTGATATATAAAAGTTACTGATTTTCTAACTCAGCTCAAGGTTGTAATTCTCATTCTATATTTTGTTATTATTACACTGAAATTCTTGACCTGCTAGTAGAAAGTGTAATTCTTTCTAATGTAAGAAAGCCAAATTATAAATTCTCGATCTCGATAAGAATTACATGAAAATTTTGTCTTGAAGATTAAAATCTCCATTCAGTATAAGAAGAAATATCATCTTTGTCTGAAGGGCAAAAAAGGTAATCCAGTAAAAGGAGCAAATAGCAAGTTAGTCTTAGTAAATTGAATATTAGAAACTTACTGTTGAATTATTCAGTAAGTACTTTGATTTTTCAAAATATTCTGCTTAATTGTTTGTGAATCTCAAAAGTTAATGTTCTAAAGTTACATTGGAGAGTTTACAGTGATGCTTTTAATACAGTTTAGTTTCCCTGAAGCTTTAACAATTACATTTGTTTTGATTTTAAAGGAGATGTTGGGTGAACTCTTCACTCCTGTAGAAACACCTGAAGCACCAAACAGGGGATTCTTTAAAGGCTTGTTTGGAGGTGGTGCACAGTCCCTTGATAGAGAAGAACTATGTAAGTTGATTTATTTAATTTGGATGATATATCTTCATAGTACAGAAACATTCAAGTCATGTAATTTTTTTACATGTATAAAATTATGTTCACTCTTTCCCTCTTTGTCAGAATAATATATTCATATTTTAAAAGAATAAATAAAATTATTTATTTATTTTATGTCCCAAATCAAGAAAATATATTTCTCAGGGAACCAAAATCAGAATAGTTTCAAGTGGCTAAAAGGAAGTATTCACAAATTGCATGAATAATTTAAAGAGTATTTATTTACACTAAATGTGATCATCATTATTTTATTTCTGTGATTGTCTTTAGTTAATAACTGTGTCAGTCAGATTTTCATGTCCGTACAAAATACCTGAGAAAAGCAACTTAAAAGGAGGAAAGATTTCTTTTATAAAACCTCACAGTTTCAGAGGTTTCCGTCTATAGTCGGTTATTTGGAGCCTGTGGTAAGGTTAAGAACGTCATGGTAGAGAGTGTGTGATATTGCAGAGCTCCTCACTGCATGCAGCAGCTAACCAGAGAGAGAGGAGGGGCCAAGATCCCAATTTCCCCTTCAAAGGCACATCCCCAGTAATCCAACTTCCCTTCACTGTGATCTACCTCCTGAAGGTTCCACCAGGTCCTAACTGTGGTATGAGCTGGAACCAAACTTTTAACACAAGAGCCCTTGGGGGACACTTAAGATCCAGACTGTAACAGCCAACCTCTGACTTCCAAAGACTTATATCTACCTCACAATGCAAAATGCATTCAGTTCCCAAATTATCAGCTATTCTGCATTGCTCAAAAGTCTAAGTCTAAAGTCTCCTCTGAGACTCAAGGGAAATTCTTAGCTATGAGCCCCTGTATAAATCAAAAAGAAAGTTACATATTTCCAAGATGCAAGGACACAAGGCAAACAGTCCCATTTCAAAAGAAAAGAATAGAAAAATAGTAAGAATGGGACCAAAGCAAGACCAAAATCCAGCATGCAAAGCATAGCTCCATGTCTGGCATGCCATGGTGGCATGATGTGAGCTCTTAAAATGCTTGGGCAGCCCTGCTCCTATACCTTGCTGGCTGTAGCTACAAAGCCTTTCTCTTTTGCTGGCTCTACTTGCCTGTAGCTTCCCTCATTGGGTATTCCACCATTCCTAGGCTTCTGTCACTTCCTTGGATCTCCATTACAGCTTCCGCTTCTCTCTCACAGATTCACTCATTGCCCTCTCAAGGTATGCTTTCAGAAACTTATAACTGCCACACACACTGCCTGATTGCCCAGGGTTTAGTTTGGTTTAGTTTTTTGTTTGTGTGGGTTTGTTTTTTCTTTGTTTGTTTGTTTGTTTGTTTGTTTTTTCCTTTTTTTAATCTCAGTAGAAACCTCCATGACTCCATAACTCTTAGATTCTACATGTCCACAAAACAAGCATCAGTGGACAGTGCCAGAGTACGCCAGCAACTGGAGCAGAATCCAGGCCAATATGGACCAAGTCTACATTGGTCTCTGAGTCCCTAGACAGCTGAACAGAGGCAAAAAAAATTTACTAAGTGGTCTTGTGCTAGCAAATCTTATGCCCTCAGAACTGTTTTCTCAAACAAAAGCCTTTGAACCTACAGTGAGTAGGGTCTTGCTTGTTCCTGAATTGCCTTCAAGTGATCTTTCCTTTTGTCTCAATGCATAGTACTTGGCTTCTTTTTAAAGTTTCTAATCTTCAATACCCTCACCCTCCTTGACCTTAAATTTAAACATATATTCTGGCCAAAATGCAAATTTTTTAATGCTTTTTGTTGTGCCCTGTGCTCCCAATTGTAATGTAAATTTGGCTAAAAGCAGCCAGCATTATCTTTGGCACTGACTGAATGTTGTGCTGCCTTGAAATTTTCTCTACCAGATTAAATAGTCTGTCGCCTTTAAACTCAGCCTCACTAGTCTCAAGGCATGGACAAAATGTAAGGAAAAAAAATTGCCAAAATATAACACAAGTGGCCTCTAATCCAATTCCCAAGAGTGTCCTCATTTCTATCACACACCTCATCAGTACAGCCTTTACTCTCTGCATTTCTGTCAGCATTCTGTTCTACCTAGGCCCCACCAATATCATCCATTAAGCTCCACTTCCAGCATTATAGACTTTCTCTAGCCCACTTCTTCAAACTTTTCCAAATTTGAGCAGGAAGTATAGTATCCATGAGAAAGCATGAGAATCCAGAGTGCTGAACCTATTTTGGGATACTCTGCTTATTTGAAGTAGGAAGCTGAGATACGTAACTGTGTTAGGGCTTGCAGGATAGTCTCCCAGGCCTGGCAAGGACAGGAACCCTGAAATAACTCTTCCTCTTTGCAAGGATCCCAAAGGACTACAATTTAAGAGTAAGGGTGAATTGGGAACAAACTAGCCTTTGTCTACACAAACTTCAGCACAGCTTCAAATTATTTGAGTGACTTGGAAAACTTTAAGTGTTCATTAAGATTTTCCCAGACTGCTGGACTCCTCAGAACCTAGCAAATGGGTGAGGAAGGTGGGATGAGTTTCTTTGAAAGAGGTAACATATTCTAAATCTTTAAATATAGGTTTTTAAGTATATAGTCATATAGTCATAGATAACCGGGAACATTGAAAAGTAAAACAGAAAAAGCAGAATTAGGATTGTAGCACTTAAAATATGGAAATTTGCAGACACAATCTATGCAGTAATTATTCATGCATGTTGAATATCCCTTAACCGAAATGCTTGGAAGCAAAAGTGTTTCAGTCCTTAGAATTTTTGGAGTCTTTGAATGTTTGCATAGACTTTTACCAGTTTCAATCTGAAAATTTGGAATGCTACAAAATCTGAAATTTTTTGAGCATCATGTTAGCTCTCAAAAAGTTTTGGATTCTGGACAGTTGGATTAGGGTCGGTCAACTTATATCATGTTCATGATGATAAATAAAAATTCCATAGATAGGGAAAAAAACTAAAATGAAGTACTGGAATTAAAGATGAAAAAAACAAAATGGTGGTCACTAAATAGGCATAAATTGCAAATTTGACAACTTATGAAGAGAGAATTCATAACTTAAAGAAGAAACCATCCAAAATGTGTCACAAAGAAACAAAAACATGTAGAGTATAGAGGAGAGCCCCCCAAAATAGAACTTGCAGTGAGTAAATCTAATACATATTTAAACCTCAAGAAGGAAATATAAAATATGAAGAATCAATATGTAAAGACATGTCTAAATTTTTTTAAAATTGATAAGTGATGCTGATGCACAAATTTAAGAGGTCTAATGAATTTCAGTTGTTTTTAATAAACTCATCAACTAGATAGACATATAATACATTAAACATAAAAAGAAAAATCTTTAAACTGGATAGAGAAAAATGATGTGTCTTTTAACAGGTTATAGACTGATACATCACTTAACAGATAATAAGGTACTCTTTTATATGTTGATAGAAGATAATATTTAATCTATGATTCTATACACAAAGAAAATAGCCTTCAAGAATGAGACATTTTTAGGCAAATGAACAAGAAGTAAGACTTGCCACCACATGCAAGGGAATTCTAAAAGGTGTGCTTGAAATAAAAAGAAAATTATTCTCATTGGAATGTCATAGGTGTAGAAAATAATGATTTGGGGAAAATTAATGTATAAGAATATAAATATAATTACTAGTTATAATTTTTAGAGTAACTTCTAAAATCTAGAATAATGGCCTATAACTTCCAGATGAATAGTAGGAAAAATCACAGTTGTTCCAAAAGAAAGCAAGAAAGGAAAGAACACAAAACAAATGGGATAAGTACAAAGCACATAAAGGATGACAGATTTAACTTAAATGAAAACAATGGTAGCAAATATAGATAAAATAAATGTTTCATTTAAAAGACAAGGAAAAATTTTAAAATGAAAGAAATGTTCATTGCATGTAAAAAAACACCTTTAAAGCCTAAGGACAGAAAGGTTGAAACTTTAAAAGATGGAAAAGCATCAGGGCAGATGAAGAGTCAGCTTGGTATAAGTCTATTAATGTCATAAAAACTAGACATTAAAACACTATTTGAATACAACTAATATTTTCTCTTTAAAGTCAAGAAAAACAAATATTGAGATGACTATTAGAAAAGACAATTTCCCAATCAATCAGTATACCCATTGACCGATTCAACAGGCAGACAAAAACCATTTTGCATTTGGTATTTATATAAAGTAGCACTTACGAGTAAAATTCGTAGCCCTAAGTATATACTAAGTATTAGAAAAAGAAAACATTAAAGTGATTAAACTGAGCATCCATCTCAAAAAGTTAGAAAAATAGAAAGATAAAGTAAAAAAGATTAAGGTTAACAATGAAATGGTAAATAAATACACAGCAAAAATATATATGTACCAAAGCAGTCTTAGTTTGGGATGCTGTAACAAAATATTATAGACTAGATGGCTTATAAACAATAGAAATTTATTTCTCATAATCCTGAAGGTTAGAAATCTAAGAACAGGTTTCCAGTAGAGTCAAGTTCTTGGTGAGAGTCTGTTATGGTTTAGATATTAGGTATCCCTAAAAGGCCATTTGTGAGATGTTGCAAGAAAGTTTAAAGGTGAAATAACTGGGTTAGGAAAGGTTTGACTTAATCAGTTGTTTAATTCTCTAATGGGGATCAGCTGGGTGGTAACTGTAGACAAATAGGATATGGCTGGAAGAGGTAGGTCATGGGGGTTGCATGCCTTTGGAGTATACATTTTGTTCCTGGTGATGGGAGCTCGCTCTCTCTGCTTCCTGGGTGCACCATCCTGACCTACTTTTCTCTGCCATACTCTTCTACCAGGTTGTTCTGCCTCACCTTAGTCCCCAAGAAATGGAGTTGGCTTTCTAAGGACTGAGACCTCTGACAACATGAGCACCAAATAAACTTTTCATCCTCTAAAATTGTTCTTGTCACCTCTTTTGATCACAGCAATGAAAAGTCTGACTAAAATAGAGTCCTCTTGGTGGTTTTCAGATAGCCATCTTCTTTCAGTATCCTCACATGGGAGAAAGGAGGCAAGTTAGCTCTCTGGCCCTTATAAGGCCCTAATCTCATTCACGAGACCTCCACTCTCATTACCTAATTACCTCTGAAAAGCCCCATGCCCAACATCACATTGGTGATTAAATATCAACATAGGCGCTTTGGAGGCACACACCATTTAGTCTATAACAAAAGCTAAAAATGTTGATTCTTTTGGTGAAACCAAGCAAGAATAAAGAAAGGAAAAGTGATCACTGTAGGGATGGAGAAAACAGCTATCACTGAAGTTATTATTACCATTTTCAAATGAAATTGACCAAATTATACTATGTGCATATATGAATATATCACAGTGAACTCTACTTTTATGTATAACTATAATGCACCGATTAAAAGAAATAATAAATAGAGGGAAGAACAGTATAGTAGAGTAGAGGAAGGAGGATCAGGGGAAGAGAAGGGAAAATAAACGAAAAGTACTGGGGATTGAATCAAAGCAAATTATATTATATGCATTTATGAGTATTTCAAAATGAAGTCCACTATCATATATAACTACAATGCATTAAAAAATATTTTAAGTAAAAATTTAAAATGAGGAAATGAAACATAATTTTATTTAAAAATTTTTTATATATTTGGTGAAGTAAATAAATTCCTTAAAAAAAACAAGATGGACAAAAAAAACAATAAAAAAATAGCAATATACTTACTTGATATTGAAACTGTCATTTCAGACTTCCACAAGTAAACTCTGGGTACAAACTGGGCTCCATTAGTAAATTGTATCAAATATTTAGGGGAAAAAACCTACTTCCACACTGTCTTTTTCAAAAAGATCAAAAAAGAATGTACACTTATCAACTCATTTTAACACGACCATTCTAATAAAAACCTAAACGCTCTGAGAAAGGAACAAATAAAGGCAACTGCCACCTATGAATGTATATATAAAATTCAAAATTTCATATTAATATAACAAATCCAACATTAACCAATGAGGATAATATATCAAGCACAAGAATTCAAAGTTGATTTGCCCTTTTAAAAAGTAAAGATCAATCAGTAATTCACCACATTAAGGACAATTAAGCAAGAAAATAAAGTGTGGAAGGCATGCATATTGGAAAAAATAAAACTCTTTATTTGCAAATAGAGTCTTGCATGAAGAAGATCCTAAGAAATCCACCAAAAAAATTACAGCTATCAAAAAAGTTCAGCAAAAGATATAAGATCAGTATAAAACAACTGCATTTCTATATGCTAGCAACAAATAATCAAAGAAATTAAAAAAACAATTCTGTTTGCAATATAAACCCCTTGAAAATAATTTAACAAAAGGAGTAAAAGACATGTACACTGAAAACTTCGAAATATAAAGAAAGTTAGACATAAATAAATGAACCAGCATCTCATGTTCATGGATTGGAAGACTTAAAACTATTAAGATATCAGTACTGCCCAAATTGATGTATACACTTAACAATACCCATTTAAATCACACTGAGTTTTTGCATAAAGCAAGATATTCCTAAGACTCATCAAAATGCAAGGAATACAGGGGCTGGGGTTGTGGCTCAGTGGTGGAGCAAACGCCTCTCATGTGTGAGACCCTGGGTTTGATCCTCAGCACCACATAAAAATAAATAAACAAAGTAAAGATATTGTGCCCATGTATAACTAAAAAAAAATTTTTTTAAATGCAAGGAATACAGATAGCCATACAAAAACTAATATCCCCAAAAAAAGAAGACTAAGGTGAGGCAAAGCAACATGGTAGAAGAGTATGGCAGAGAAAAGTAGGTCATATTGTAACTTGATGTTTTAACGTTTGAGGTTACAAGTTACAATATGACCCAACAGTTTTACTTCTGGGCACATGCCAAGAGGATTTACACATTCTGATTTCAAAATTTACCACAAAGATTTAGTCATCAATATAGAGGGATAATACTGGCATAAAGATAGATATATATGGGCTGGGGATGTGGCTCAAGCGGTAGCATGCTTGCCTGGCATGGGCGGGGCACTGGGTTCAATCCTCAGCACCACATAAAAATAAAATAAAGATGTTGTGTCCACCGAAAACTAAAAAAATAAATATTAAAAGATAGATATATAGATCGTGGACTAGAATTGAGAGGTCAGAAGTAAATCTGTAATATTTATAGTCAATTGTGTGTTTTCTGCAAGGATGTCAAGAAAATTCAGTGGTGAAAGAATGGACTTTTCTACAGGAATGCCAAGAAAATTCAATGGCAAAAAGAACTTTTCAACAAATGATATTGGAACAAATGGATATTCGCATACAAAAATAAATAAATAAATGAAGTTGGACCCAATTTCACAGCATATAAAAAATAAACTCAAAAAGGGTAAAAGACCTCAGTCTAAGCTAAAATACAAAACCCTCAGAAGGAAACATAGGTAAAAATTTTTGTGATCTTTGATTAGGCAGTGGTTTCTCAGATATGACACCTAAATCACAACCAACCAAAGAATAAAATAAATAAATTAGAATTTGTCAAAATTTTAAACAGTGCTTCAAAACAATATATCAAGAAAACAGTGAAAAGATAGTCCAAAGAAAGTTAAATATTTGCAAGTAGTATATCTGCTATCTGATAAGATCTAGTATCCAGAATATATAAAGAACACTTACAACTCAATAATAAAGACAAATAGCCCAATTTCAAAATGGGGAAAATATTGAATAGATATTTCTCCCAAGAAAATGTACAACTGATCAATTAGCAGAGGAAAAGATGCCCAATATCATTTGTTATTTGAGAAATCCAAATCAAATCACAGTGAAATAACACTTCACACTCACAAGGTTGGCTCTCAGAGACATACATACAAATGTTAGCAAGAATATGGAGAACATGAAATGCTTGTACATTGCAGATAGGTATGAGAAATGGTCCATGTTCAGAAAATTGTCTTACAGTTCCCTCAAAGGTTAAAACATCAAGTTTCAATATGACCCAACATTTCTACTTCTGGGCACATACCCAAGAGAATTAAAAACATATTCACACAAAAGTTTCTGTAAATGTTCATGATAGCATTATTCATAATAACCAAAAAGCGGAAACAGCCCAAATGTCTATTAATTAATGGATGGATATTCAAAATGTATACATACAATAATATGTTCTTCATACATAAAGGGAAAAAAGCACCGTTACATGCTACAACATAGATGAAACTTAACGTTATTCTCAGTGAAATAAACTAGCCATGAAAGGTTACATACTGTATGAATCCATCACATGAAATGTTCAGAATAGGCAAATGTATAGAGACAAGACTATATTAGTAATTGACAAGGACTGGAAGAGTGCAAACTGACTACTAACAGGTGTGGGGGCTTCTTTGGGAGTGATGAAAGGCTCTGAAATTAGATAGAAGAGATGGTTGTACAGCCTTGTGAATAAACTAAAAACCACTGAATTTTAACCCTTAAAGGTAAACTGAAAGAAGAGGGAATGAAACTGGAATAATTCTTGTAAGAATTTAAGACTTTAATAGGTATTAGACATTCAGGGTCTGGATTCTGAAGGGAAGAGAAACAATGATCCTTTGAAGGAAAAACTTGATCTGTTTTGTAAAGACAGAGTAAATGGAGATAACAAATGTATGATATCTACAAATTTTGGAGACTAAAATAGAATACTGAGTAAATTCATTTTTCTTCTGAGAAAGTCTTTAGGATTATGGAGTAAAACTAAATCAAATCTGTATATTTAAATCTATACATTTGAATGTAAAATCTTTAAGTTAATAATCTCTAATTTTCTGAACTCTTAAGAATAATATTTGATTGTATAAATTGGTGTCAGTATGCTTACTACTCGTTTCAACAGATAATTACCACCCTTTTTTTGCACTTTGTCATGCTGTATGAACTAATATATCAATATGGGTATTTATTAATGTGCCTAGTATTTTGCATGTTTCGAAGAAGTATCTAGAACTGATTTAATACATTATAATAAAAGAAAAACATTAATGATAGTTATATATATAAATATTCCAGTTATATTGTCATTCAAATAAAAATTTGTAGTAGGATTTTATATTAATAGAAATCTTCAGCTTTTGAATTAACTCTTTCATTTATCAAATCCTTTTAGTTGGAGAGTCATCCTCAGGAAAAGCTTCACGGAGTCTTGCACAGCATATCCCTGGCCCTGGTGGCATTGAAGGTGTGAAAGGGGCAGCCTCTGGAGTTGTTGGTGAATTGGCACGAGCCAGGTTGGCATTGGATGAAAGAGGGCAGAAGCTTGGTGACTTAGAAGAAAGAACAGCAGCTATGTTATCAAGTGCAGATTCATTTTCTAAACATGCTCATGAGGTATGTCTGTCCAACATATATTTCAACAAAAAACCCTAGACAAAGCAAGTATGAACATTATTATACTTATATAGCTGTGTATTTCTGTATACATGAATTTGCTTATATCCTTTGTACAAGCACAAATCCCTGATTTTTGCCACCAGAGGGAACCTTTACAAGAATATGTCTCAGTAACCTTTGATTTCTTACTGAAGTTTATAAATTTGGAAGATCTGCTCACCTTCAGGATCTATAAATAATGCCAACATCTTTGCAACTATTTCTTAGCAAATGCATAACAATGCTAATTTTCCTTAATACCTCAGAGTATACTCTCACCTTGTCCTAGAGAAGGAAATAATTCACCTCATTGATTCTGCCTGGTAAATCTAAATAATTAAAATGGATAACATTTTGATGTAAATAAACAATACTAAGTTTATCTTGAAACCAATTAATATGATTCATTTTGCATTGAACTCATTTTGAAGTACTTTTAAGTCACGGTAGAGCTCAGAAACAGATGCTAAAAGTAGGGATCTCAAAATGACCTCCGATAAACATGTTTTTGTGGACTAACATAGTGCTCCTTAAAAACTGAACTTAAAATAAGACTTTATGTAAAATACACATTTTTTTTCACTTTTGCACTTCTGCCGTTCCATGCTTTGACATGGGGTACTTCCCCATATTTAATTCTTAGATTGTCCCTTGATATTTTGAGTTTGTTGTCTGAAGGAGCCATATCAAAATTATTTTTTTTTTTTTACTTGAGCACCTAAACCTTTAATGTTTCAACCAAAAGTCATCTCCTCTTTGCTCAAGAGAGCTGAAATCTAGAATGCATGAAAGAGGTAACATGACCTGGGAAATACTTGTTCAGGACCTCAAACAGATTGAGAGGTCCTTTGTGGGAGTACTTGTACATGTGCCCACATGCACCACAGATGTAGGTTAGTAGCCTTTAATCCAGGACTAGATTTTTGTTGTCAGAGCTCTACCATCTAACTGAATGATCCCTAAGGCAAATAGCATTTTTGACGATTTCATAATATATCCACACTCTAAGTAGTTAGCAAAAAGCTCAAATTCATAGCTTTTTCCTTCTGCTAGATGTTCTTCAGTCATATTAAGAGTCTAAGGAAGATAGTACATTGAGGTGGTTACAGTCATGGCTTCTTGAATCAGACAGCCTGAACTCAAATCCCAGGTTCACCATTATGTTGACATGAGTAGCCCCTAGAAGCCTCAGGTTCTTCATTTATTAAGTGAGAAGAAAAGTAATTTGTAGTTTTATTAGCTTAGTCACCAAATTAGGGTCACCTCTCTTAAGAAATTTGAGGACCTTCCCAGCTAGTTCTTAATGGTTGTAGTCACTTTTTTCCTTCTAAATAGAACAGTTCTTAACACTTTCAATAAAATGATTTGAAGTAAGCAATATAGTAACACTAGAGAATGTTTCAGAATAACAATGTTTTTGAAAAATATTGAAACCAGTTATAAATACCATTGTTCTGGCATTTTAAAAATGTTTCTCTCCCCCCCCCACTTTCTTCCTCTTTAGATGATGTTGAAATACAAAGATAAAAAGTGGTACCAGTTCTGACACCCAGAATCCAATTAAGTCCAACTTCAGCCAGAAGGAAAAAAATTTCCTTTTTTATTTCACTGATTTAAGAAAGTTAACATTCAACGGATGTTCATCGCTGAATACTTTCTAGCACAATCATGCACTGTTTTACCTCAGTCAATTGGCATTAACTGAGGGGCGTTCACACACACACTCAAAATGGAATATATGGTGTGTGCAGGCTGTGAGTTGACAATTTGGATACTAACCAGGTCACGTGTGACAGATGAAGAAACAAAAGGGGAAGCTGAGGAGACATGGCAGGGACTATTCCTTGGATCATTCCTGTATTAAACTTTTATATGCCAAAAGATTTCATGCTATTGTGTCTGCCATCAGTGTTTGACCTGTTTTGGGGAGAGGCAATAAGTCCAAAGTTCTGAAGCTGAAGTAGTTTGTGTCATCGGACTGGATTATAAACAGTTGTATTGGACTTTCCCTCCCTTAAATTGACTGGTCATCAGTATCATTAGTGAAAAAGAAACAAACTATTTCCCTTTCTTTAGACTAAGCTGAATGGTGGGCTTTAAATAATAAAATCATACACATAGTTGACTTGTGTATGGGCTACTCTTGGATTCTTGTTATTATATACTTGTGTTTAGTTCATATTTTGTCAAAAGCAAAACAAGGTGATACATCACTTTTCATTGAAAAGAAAAGTGTAGAGCATGACTGAATTGCTCATCATTCTGGGAGTTTCCATGTAGTGGCTATGCAGTGTGGAAAGTGAGAAAAACCTCCATTGTGGGGAGGAGAATACTTCAATGTTCTTTGTCCTCGTTCTCATTAATTCAGCTAAAGGTGGATCTGACCAAAGTAGTTACTGGTTAAATTTGTAGAAAAGTTGAAATTGGCTAAGTTTTTAATTTTGCTTGAATTTTTATAAAATGTTTAACCAAATGTACCTTTGCATTATTTAATTAAAATTGCTTTAAAAAAAAAAGTTTCATTATTTCAGTAAAATGCTCAGCTCCCCTTTTAAAATGCCCTTTATTTGCTAACAGTTCCAATACACTCAGGTGATGAGCCAATTAAATCTTAGTGCACATGCTATCGCATGGAAAACTATAAGCATCTGTTGTCAATAAGTATCTATATAAGAGTCTAGTCTGATGACCTACAAAATATTTGCTGTATAAATATAATAAAAAATATGTACATATCCTTTCAAGGTTTTAAAAAGCCAAAGAAAAGGAAAATACTTACACTTTGGTAACAAAATTATTTCTGTAATGGAATACAATGCAAATTAAGATAGCTGTGGACAATGAATGACTGGTTCATAGAATAGCATTACAGACAGGAAAGTAATCACTCCATAGATCTGGAAGCAAGCAATCTAATAATACAGGCTAATCTGAGATCATAATTGATTATTGTTAAAGCAGCAAAGGAAGATCAAAATAGAAGCATTAAAATTAATGTTAATGAAATTTTAATATTGTCTTCTATAAAAATTGTTTTAAGTAATTTTATTTTTCATTAAGATATTATCTGAGCACAAATTGACTGCAAACATGATTGTTTTTCTATTCTATATGATCAGTAAAGCTATATGTAGAACATCTTTTTCATGCACTCTGTTATGCATATATTCTTCCTTATTCTTTTCACTAAGAAAACTTTTGTTTACATTTTATAATGTGCACTGCAGGATGAAAAAGTTTACATCAAAGTTTACTTTAAATATTATTGGGTAGGACCTAAATATATGTGATGTGTAATACAGATGATAAATCAAGTCAAAAGAAATATTTTTAAAATACAGTCATTTTCAAAAGTTTTTGGATTTGTAGAAAGTGCTGATGAATAACGTACTTCTGTTTAGTTTGTATCAGCTGTGTTTGAACATTGAGCAGTTTACAAATTACTTATTTGTATATTATCCAATAGTAGATCCATTGTTCCATGATATGTCACAGGAAATATTAGATTATTTTTATAGGTATAGTTTGGTGGTGAATGCCATCAGTAAAATCAGCAGTAATAGATTTAAGAAAGTTAAGAAGCATTAAGTAAATTAATATATTGATTGATTGTCCATCCATTTGGAAGGTCATGTTAGCTTTATTTATTTTATTTGCTGTGCTATTTTTTGTTATTTTAATATCAACTTTATTTTACTGTCATTTTTCTTGTATATAAAATGAACCAAACTTGTAATTATTTCCAAATTAGAAAAGTAGATAGACTAAATAACCTGAGATGGATTTTATAAGAAAATCTTAAATCAGTGTTTTAAGTTTTTTATTTTATTTTTAAAATTAATCTACAAATCATGTGCAACAATCTAGAGACTCACTTAGCATTAAAAAGCTTAAACTACTTTTTTAGCATAGGAAATAAACTTCTGAGTTAACACTTGATTCAGTCTGTAGATAAGAGTCTGTGTTAATAACTAACCCAGGGAATTTATTGTAATTTGAGAGATATTTTTTTAATGCAAAAAGTAGTAGTCACCAGCAAGCCAGGATTTCAGGAAAACTAACCAAAAAGGAAAAAAGAAAGAAAAAGAAAAGAAGAAAATAAAAGAAAGGAGGTCAAAATAGAAAATATCAGAAAGATTAAAGATTTTTGTGTGCTTTATTCATGTCAGTGTTTTTTGTTGCATTTTGTTGCACTAAAATCATTGAAGTATTCATCAATTAGCCTGTGTCAGTAGAAAGTGGTTTCCCCTTTACGTGCCACATACTCGGTTTGTTTCACTTTGCAAAACTAAAATCCATATACATTGCTTAGAAAGTTATTTAAAATCTTATACTCTTAACAATTTGGAATTTTGCATTAACACCTTCGGTTTGCATTTCAATCATATGAAGTGTTTCCAAAAACATATTATAAATTCAAATAAGCTAATTACTAACTTCTTAATTTTTTTAATTTTTTATGGATGTGAAACAATGCTGCTGTTTGTCTGTTATTGTGTGTAAATATGTTGCAATTTAATTCAGCATAATACTTTAAAGAAAGAAACATTTATTTTACTTACAACTTCTTGTAGGTTCTTCTGAAGTTATTTCATGTAGAGATATGTGTCTTAAACAAGTCTGAAAGTGTTATATACTTTTAGGTTACAGGTGATACTGCAGAAACAGCTGAGGAAAGGAATATGTGGAAGACACCACAGAGTTCAGAGTTTTAACTTGAGTTCTATATTCTAGAGTTTTACCTTGAGTTTTATATTCCATATATGTTTTGCTTGAGGCATTTATCATGTGACGATGGAAAGCTATATCCAAAGGTAAATTTTTTGTGGCAAAGATTTATTTTACATTTTAACTTTGGAGATTTTGTTTATTTGTTTCTGCAAAATAAAGAGCACTGAACTTTAAACTTGAATTTTTCTGCACTTTTTTAGGTAAGGAAAACTTTTATTATCATTTAATCCATTTCTCAGTTTAAATCAAGTGATACATTGTATTAAAAAATACCAAAATCATGAATATGCTGCTAGCTTTACCTTAAACAAACTGATCAGTTTTAAAACCTTATTTAATAGGGTTTTATATAGTTAAAGATAAAAAGAAGTAAAATTATTTCCTATTTGTTTCAGTGTTCTTGGTCTTAAATGATTCCAACACTTTCAGATTTGTTTTACAATCATACAGTAACATGTTATATTTATACATACTGCTAGAGAATATACTTTTGGTTTTAAAATGAAATTTTTATAAATGTACTCTTTAATTTTAAAAACGGTGAACTTGTTAAGTTTTAAGTCAAAGTACTTAAAAAGTATGTATATTATCCATACAAAAAGTTATGTTTTACGCTTATAATAAGAAATATTGATATCTCATATCGAGATACAATTAATTTTAAAAATCATACATCATTTAAAGTCTTCACATGTCAGGAAAGATATTATTGATATAGTTAAAAATACAAAACAAAAAATCTATTGAGCATTTTCAAATGTTATTTTTATTTTGGGGGAAAATGCCCACAACAGTAATTTCAAGGTCTTTCTCAATAGCTACAGCTTGCTGTTGGATGCCTACTTTACCTATTGTTTTAAAATATAACTATAGATATATATATATATATATATTTAAAATAGTTTTCCAGGTATTTTCTTCTACCTTTTTTAAAAATAAATTTCCAAAAAATGAAAACAGAGTTTATGTATTTTTGTCAATGAAGGTTTTTATTTTGTAGTTTATAGAATTTATTCCTTATCAGTTTGATACTTGATCAATATTCCTAGGCTTTTTAACTACTATATCTTAAATGTTCTTTTTTCTTTTCTTTTCTTTGCTTTTTCCTCTTAGGGTGTTCTCTTTGATTGAAGTTTATGCCCACAAAAAGTGGTTGTTTTTTGTTTTGTTTTTTCATTTAAAAATGAATGTGAAGATATGTTTACAGTTTTTGTTAATTGCTCTTCTCATCATTCTGATCAATTTCTTGTAAAATGCTATAGGAATTATTTTTCCTGTGAATATTAATGATTTAATGATCTTACTGCTGCCTCAGAAATTCCAAAGGTTCTGTGGACAGAAAATGGTTGTTACAACCAAAACCAAAAGAAAACTAACTAACCTTTCTCAGCTGAATTAAATGATTTTCATAACTTCCCAATTATTAGGGTTCTGACATTGCTTCCTTTAGTCACTAATACAGTCTTAAATTTTATTAGTCATAATTCATTTATAAATTGAATACATGACTACTTGTAAGTGCTCTTTTTATTTCTCTCTTTACGTGAAGGAAAAAAAAAACATGAATGTCAGTTTTGCCAGTACTTTGCAATGAGGCTTATAGTTTAATTTGAAATTTTATAGTATGTGTAAATACATCAGTATTACCTTATTGTAGGTCGTTTGAGGCACTTAAAAAGGGAGGTACATTAATGGCAATTGAATTATATTTATTTTAATTTGTTTTTTAAAATACTTTTGCTATTTTGTGTTGTTCAACTGAAAACAATGTAAGGAGTTGAAACGGACTCAATATAACAGTGGAAAGCAATGCAAAGAAGATAAATCATGTTTTAATTTCTTTCATTTATTTTTTTGTAAATAAACAGTACTGTGATACTTTAGGTGTGATCTCTGCTCAACATGGTAGTTAGAAGCAGAAAACCTTTTGCTTTCTAAGTTATACTATGGGTTCATTGTAAATGCATTGCCAAAAGACAATATAAGAGAGAGCAAGATTTAGTTTCTAACATTGTCCACGTCAAGGGCAAGCATGCTTGGTATAGAGCTCTAGCTTGTGTATCTTAAGCTGTACATGCAGGTGTTTTTTCAGTCGCTACACTTTTTTTTTTCTTTTTTAATCTTGCTCAGTCCCAGTAACTATCTCAAAGGTAATTGCTGGAATATGCATTTGAAACAAGTTTTTTTAAAAAAATCTGTGTACTGTATCATTAAAAAAAAAACTGCAAACACTAAAAAATGTGTTAAAACTTTGTAGTTATTTTGCATTCCTGTACTTTATCAGCAAAAAAAAAACTGTCATTACATCAAAACTTTAAAATTAGGTATTGAAATATTTTTGTAAATAAATACCATTAAGCTGGTATTTTAAAAAAATGTATTATAAATTGTTTCTGGAAAATGTTCATATATATGTATGTCTCTTTATGCTGAAGGGCTCTGATAGGGCAAAATAAAATATTCTAACCTCTCCTGAAACTAAACAAGCCCTTTTTCTGGGAAATTTGTTTTAATATTTTTCTGCATTGTGGAATTAACCCATCAGTTTAAATTAATAAAATAGTAACAAAGATTTCCACCTCTCTGAAGGGAAAATCAAGGTAATCAGGTAATTTAAGCAGGCCAGCTATATTTTTCATAACTATCTAAATCTTTTGGTTTAAGTCACCTCCCTCTGAGGTGGGGTGGAAAGGACAAGGATGGAATAGGAGTCAAAGGACACAGGAACTAGATCTAGATGTGTGCTTATTGGTATCAGTGTTCAACTTCTTGTACCAAAAACGAATACCAGGAATGAATCTAGAATAACGTAACTGAAAGAAAAGCTATTTATTTGTTGTCGTTTCCATTGCATTTTAGAATAAAGTATATGCTAGTTTTCTTATTTGACTTTGAATGTGTGTGTGTGTATATATATATATATTTTTTATATATTTCATCATTGTTATAATAATTATGATACATACATGCACACATACATTCCTACTGTGGTGCTTATCTGTACCACATGGTGGCAGTAATGTCTCACCATAGGAGCTGTTAACAAGAAAAACCTATAATTTTACAAGGGAATAACCACCACAGGCTTTACAAAGGTTAATTTTCATAATGGATACGTTTTATGTAGAAAATTATTAAACAATCAGATATGAAATGATATCTTCTATTTTTATACAGTAATGTAAATCAGTTGATAGCATGATCTGGTTTATTATCAAAAGAAATATTTGTATTTTTCCAGAAATATATAGGTATAAAGTGATAAAATTTTGAAAACTAAAGATTGTTTTACTGTCTAGTAATGCCTTTTAAAAGTTATCATTACTTTGAGTGTGTCCTGTGTAAATAGTACAGAGTCCTCCAGTGCTTTAGATAGAAATATACTTGTCATTCTCTTCATAGAATTTTATAGGAAAATCCTGATTTTCCTCCGTTACTTTAATGTTTGCACTTTCCTACTTTTTGCAGTTTTTATACAAAAGTATTTTGTCAAAGTTACCCTAATGAAAGTTTGCAAAATGTTTATTGTTTAGACTAAGACATCTTATAAAGAAAAAAGCCAATCACTTTTTTTCAAATTTTGTTCCTCTTTTTAACATCAATACCCAACTATGTGTTCTAATCATTGAAAATGTATGGAAACATTCTAATCATTGGTTTTAGTCACTTATATTTGGTATTATTTTTTAAAAAAAAAAACAAAATCCCATAGCTTTTTTATAAATAACTACGTTCAAAAACAACATAGAAGATGCACTTTTAATAAACATAAAGTTTTATACAAGATGGAATGAATATGCATTACTATCAAAGGAAAGAAGTCTAAGAACTTCATCTAAATATCAAGCTGCAGTTATTATTAACGAATGTGCCTGTTCTCCCAAACAGGAGACCACCCACTGCCTTGAGCATCTCTGACAGCTCTTCTCTTAATCTCTTCCCCATGTCCCTCTTAGTTCTCTCCATTCAGTTCTGTCCCTGTCGCCTTGCCTCACTGCAAGTCTCTTTACTCTTCTGTTTTATTTTAACCAAGCACTTTCTGCTCACTGAGGGAGGGGGAAAAGTGAATTCTTATGTTTTCTCCCCTAAATATTGGGTGGATTTGTAAACAATTTTTATAAACACAATAATGCCATCCCTACTCCTGGTAACCCTTGATGTTCAAAATCTCAACAAAAACAGTTGAGCACGCTGAAGAACTGTGGCAGCAGTGATTTTAAAACATAGGAGCTCCGGAAAGGTGTGATGAGAAAGTGTAACCCTCCATGATCCTTTAACAATGATGTGACTACAGATGCCATTAGACTAAGCCATGGTTCTCAAGCTCCAGCCTCAAAATCTCCTGTAAACGATTCTTATTAAATGTGCATTGCTGGACTATGCCCTCAGCGTGTCTGGTACAGGAGCCTGGAGGGTGCTGAAGGGTTTTATTGAGTTCCAAGGTAGTTCTGATTCTGCTAATCCAAGGACTACTGTGATTTAGAGCCCCACCCAAGGAACAATTTCCTCTCTCACACAGATCTTTTGGATGTTTCCTTTACTGTTCTGGAGCATTATAGGTAAAATGTTTGCCAGTACATCTAATTTTTTAAAATCAGTGTCTGAACTAATATGCCAGATATATGAAATGAATGGAATTGATAATGTTTAAAAGTATTTCAACATGTAAATGCTGAGATTACACACCAGAAGGAAAAAAAAAACAAGTCTCCACAAATTTCCAGAGCATTCCTTTTAGGGTAACCCCTTCTGATCTATCTTCCCTTTCAGCACTCATCCCTGCACCCCATGCCCTTTGACATTTAAACCTTTGGGCCAGAAGGTAACACCTGCAGTAGGACCCAACCTTTTTTGGACCTGTTCCCGTTCAAAGGGATTCTTACAAACATGCTCATAAATGCTGTGCCCTCATATATACCTGAAAGTGTAGAAGTTTAGACTATAAATGTTAGTTTGGATTTTGAGTGCATTTTGCATTAATTCCTCTTAAAAATTCATATCCTCTTTTTAACTCATGTCTTCTAATTAACTAGTGGATGCAGGAGCGCAGACATCTTTGTAAATCTATGTCTAAATCAATACATGACGATATACCAGTCTATTTCTCCTAACAAAAACTCCTCTTATTGAATAACTTGTCAGGCGTAGTGGCACACGCCTGTAATCCCAGCTGCTTGGGAGGCTGAGACAGGAGGATTGCAAATTCAAAACCAGCCTCAGCAACAGTGAGGGGCTAAGCAACTCAGTGAGACTCTGTGTCTAAATAAAGTACAAAATAGAGTTGGGGATGTGGCTCAGTGGTTGAGTGTCCCTCAGTTCAATCTCCAGTACAAAAAAAATAAAGAAAGAAAGAATGAATAGAACAACAAATTCATTCAATGAAAATTACATAGATTCTCATAGATAATAAAACTATTATACAATCTTGCTAACAGTGTACTAGAAACTTTCATATTTTCCTGAATGTTGGTTAATAGGCAAAAAATCAATTCACCTAGAGTTTCATTTAAGTGCATTAAAAATGGGCATTGTATAGAGCTCATTTCAGATGCCACCCTTTTGTGTTCAGGCTGTGTGACAAGACCAGTATGCTCCCCTAAATTTACCTGAAATGCTAATGACTTTTTCTAAGTCATTAAACTCTATTTTACTGAGTCTTATTATTTAAAAAAACGGAATCTAAGTATTGGCCTTACCCCCCTCACATGGTACTTGTATGAATATAAATAATCTCTGAAAACCATTAGAAAAGCAATTAGCATATAAACACAAGGCTTTATGATCTTAAAAATATTAGTCCCTTGGAAAGTCTGTGAATCAGAAATATATTTGAATATAGAAATAGTCACAATCAGCAAATCAGTATTATTGATAATTATTGACAATCCTATTATCAGGATTAAAATCGTTGATATATATTGTCTTAATTAGTGAAGATAATGAATTAAAATGTGTCTGAATTTAATAAGCTCCTTTGATTCCAACTGAATTTCATCTCTGTTGTTTTTTACTCCAGGGTACCAATTCAGCCTGCATTTACTGCTGACTATCATTAGGATGTAAGATCTTATTAAAATCATTATATGATTGCCTTTCAAAATAGAACTGTAACCAAATCCTAGTGGCTGGAAATTCAGATTGCTGGGGTTTTGTTTGTTTGCTTGTTTGTTTGTTTGTGGTTTTTTGTTAAATAAATACATTCAAATTCATAAATGTTAACTTTTATCTCTGGTATAAATAGTAAATACTCTTCATTGTTTGGGCATAGCATAGTTAACACTTTTCACAGATCATATAAATTTCATATAAATTTTCTATAAATATAAAAATTATCTAAACTTAGAAATTAGGATTTCCTCTTCTTCCATGGAGTCTCTAAAAGACTTTGTTTTTATTTAGCAGGAAAAAGAGAACTTGGTGTCAGGTCAAGACCCAAAGCTCTTAGTGCTACTTTCCAACAGTGTGACCTGAAGTTACTAAATCTTTTTAAGTACTTGTTTCCCTCAAATGTCACATGGGAATAAAAGCAGTGCCAACTTTTTAAGTTTGTTGAAGGACTCCATGTAAGAGTATGAGTAACAGAATAGCCAAGGAGCCTCTGCCCTCCTGTCAAAGACAGAGGGTTGTATTCAAGTCTGGGTTCTGAAGTGAAACCTGTGATTCCCTGTTCCACCATATATATGGCCATGAGCAAGTTAATAAACTTTATGCCTGTGTCTTCTAATTGGTAAAACATTTAGTAGTGATTATTGTTTATGTCAAGTGCTCAGTATCTGATGCATGTAGCATTTTCATAAAGTAAGATGCTACTGATAGACACACCCTTATTGATACCGCTAACAAGGAAAAACAATGGTAATTATAAGATACACCTAAATCTTCTAAATGTTAAACTATGAAAATGGGTATGTAAAAATGAATAGAGCAGTAAACACTCAATAAATGATTTAGTGCTATTTGGAATACTAGAAAATAATACTCTGTCCCTCTATTTGTAATCATGCAGTTCTAGATTCTGCTCTCCAAAGGGAGCAAAACAGAAAGACTCAAATTTTCTCTTTAAAGTAGTTTCCTAGGCACAGGTCTGTTTTTTTTTTTTTGTTTTGTTTTTTCCTTGTGATGCTACTGAAGCGAGGACTCAAAGGCTTCATCTCGGGTAAGGTAGGAGGTTTCATAAAGCAATACCAGTGAAAAACAATTTTCAAAGAATTGTATTCTTTATTCAGTTCTCTCAGAAGATGTTAAAAGGAATCCAACTAACAACTCCGGAAACAGTTCTCACAACCCCTCTCCTATTGTTAATCAACAAATACTGGAGTACTAGCTGGAGACTTTCAAATGCCAAAACCTTTAGAGAGCTCTCTCCCACTCCTCCCTTAGCGTGGGGCTCCCAGATGGGCTTTAGAAAGATGCAGGCTCTCCCCTGCATTAGCTAAGGTGCTGCCTTTGTCACTTTGGGCTTGTAGGCACTTGGCAGAGCTTTCTGGGACCCTCTGCTGAGTTGTGCTATCACAACGTGGGGATCGGTCTGCATACCAGAGGGGAGTGGAGCTTCAGACCCTCAAGCTTCTCATCATCATTTCTCTGCCCTCCTTGGAACTAATTCTTGAAGGTTAGCAGTCTGAGAACCCTGTCCTCGTTTTCCAACCCAGTCTGCACCCAGTCTGGTTGGACAGGAGAAAATCATCCACAAGCCTCCTATGTAGCTATGTTTAAACCCAAGCTGCCATTCGCTAGGAAACCCTTTGTATCTCAAAGCTATTGTCTGTAACGTGAATTTAAAACTCCATTTTGAGGACTGGGCTTGTAGCTCAGTGGTAGAATAGCTGCCTAACATAGCTAGTGCCCTAGATCCAATCCCCAGCATCATTAAATAAATAAGAT